CTTTTCTGGCTGGTGGAGAATATTTGACATAATAGTCAAATTTACCAGATGGTTGCACCAAGGACCACCTTCCGAATCATGTTCTTCAAAGCGGGAATGAGATCTGTCTGACTGCAGCGAGCTTTCTTCTTTTTCTTGTTGAAATAGTTTCGTCTTGGAGATAATGCTCATCGATTTCCCAAATAGGATCATCACGGCTATTTGAGCATTGGCAGTCAAGATCAAATGGAGTGTGACCAGTATGGATCATATTGAGGTAGACAGGGCACCAGATTGTTGAAAAGAATGAATCGAAAGTCCAGGTTCCCGTACTGTGGTATGGTCTGACTGGAGTAATCATGAATTGAGTTTGTCGAAAACTCAAAGGTGGAGCACTGGGGTTGCGGAGACTTAAATCTAATAGTTGTTGTTCCTGTCACTGTTGTCATGCATGGTAGATTCTAGAAACCACCGGAGTCTCTTTTTTGTTAAAGACTCGTAACTCGTCCACCCAAGAGTCGGTAACTTTAATCAAATCATCTCTGGAAATTTGCTTGGGAAATTGATGTAGTAGGAGTATTCTGAGAGTCAACTGAGAAGTAGTGCATCGTAGTCGTAGGGATAGCGAGATCAAGAGCATGGTCTTGGATTCGCCAAACCATTTGATAATCAAAGTACTGCATACTTCTGGATTTAAATCTGCACCACAATCTGTAATTGAACTTAATAGCCTTAGAGCAATGACATCAGAGAGAGACTATTGAATTGGGAAACAGTGTCATGATGACTGTCCCAGCATTCAAAGTTGTCTGTGCTGTCCCGATACAAGCATGTTGTATTGGACAATCTGTGTGTCCATAAAGCATTCGACTGAGACCGGAAGTCCTTTTCTGCCATGATAAGAGAGAGCGAGCCGGATAGCGCCAAAGTGCACATGGAGTATCCTTCACGGATCCATTAGTAATGGATTCTTGAGGGATTTCTAAAGTAACATATTGTTCTTGGGATGTCTGGCAATTTGACACTTGTCAAATGTACTAGTCTGGACATACTCTTTGACTGGCTTTCTGGAAGGACGTACAGAGTTTTAAAGGTTTTAGACAAAGAAGACGTAGACTTGGAAAGGCGGTGTAAGGATTTACAATGGGGGGAATAGTTTCTTGGATTTTTTGATTTTCTGGGATATAGATATTTCATACAGACTGTCTACTTTAGAAGAAGATCTAGATAAACTAGTATTTATGGGAGCAGTAAATGTAGATAAAGCTGAAGAGATTCCATGGACGTAAGTTCAACCTCTTGGATGTGTAATTCCACCTCAAACGTAAAGATAGCACAAGACCCGAAATTCATATAAACACAGTTAATAAACGTGAAACAAACATAACATATAATAGAGAAAGTTAACATAACCAAAACTTAAAGGACCCTATCCGAGGAGGTAATCCTCCGCACACGCGAAAATTGGAACCAATAAGTAACTTAAAGAAACCAATGTCCGAGGGGAGGTAATCCTCCGCACTGCAGAAATTGGAACCAATAAGTGGATGGCTCTGATACACAAGGGTTACTAGACCTTAGAGATGTTGTCAGAAAATCATGGAGTTTATGCATGTGGGAATTTTTTTTTTTTTTTTTTTTTTAAATGTGAGGGTAGGCCCAGCCCCGTCCGCTCCTGCTTCAGCCATTGTCATTGTCCTGTGGGAGTAAGCTATACTGAACAGGGTAGGAGGTCCTTTTTTTGTGAATTACTTTAAGTATGGCTTTAGAAAGACGGACACACTAAGTAGACACTTGTTCCTAAATTCTTAATGCAGTTTTTTGGAATATTGATTTCTCATTACCAAGATTTTTGGAGTGTCTTTAGAAACAATGTATTCATGGTAGTGTCTTTTTTTTACTGCAACTTTTCAATTTTCTTTTCTTGTAGAAGTTTTTAATTGAACTTATTTTGGTTTTCAAATTTTTTTATAGAAGAAAGGTGCAAAACTAATAAATGGAGCAAGCAATAGCTTGCTCAAAATGAGAAGATTGACAAGGCTTGTAAGTAACATACTGCTGCAACCTTATTAAAAAATCCAAGCTTACATTTAGCGAAGATTATATAAGTTCCTTCGAGCATGGTATCAGTAGGGGTGTTCAAAAGAACCGATTGGAACCAGAACCGGCGGGTACCCTGGGTTTGGTTCCGGTTCCCACACAGAATCAGCCATCAACAGATAGGTTCCGATTCTAAATTTTTGGAACTGTTACTGTCCAGTTCCGGTTCTGGTTCTTATAGTTAGGAACTGGAATCGGAACCGGGAACCGAGACTAATATAAAATAAAATTAAAGAGTAGGGGGTTAATAAAAACTTTTGTAGAAAAAGTAATGTGAATATATTTATATTTATATTTCATAACATTTAAAGTAAGTTGGTTTGACTTTTGAGAATCTATCTTTACAAAGTAATGGAGTTTGTAATTTTGAATTTATAATTTGTAATTTTATTTTTGTTAACAAGTTCCAGGTGAAGGGGGGGGGGGTATTTGTAAGTTTTTAAGGGTTTTTTACCATTTTAAAAACTTTTGGGGGGTCCTTGGAATTTTATAGGGTACCCAGAACTGGAACCGGAATCATTGTTACAGGTTCCGATTCCGGTTCCAAATTTCAAGGAACCATTGGTTTCGGTTCTTTCAAAAAATGTAGGGTACCCAGAACCGAACAGCCCTAGATATCAGGGATGGACCTGACAAGCTGGACCTATTGTTGGATAAGTTTCTAATTTTCTATTACAAAATGCTTTGAAATTGTAATAAATTTTAGAATCAATAGACCAATGAAGAGAGATTTGGTTTAAAGCTGTAAAATAATGATTTTCCATCAGTGCCAGCTCTAGGAAATTTGGGGCTTTAAATGAAAAGTCTAAAATAGGCTTTATTTATTTCTTTTGTACGTGTTATACGAAATATAATTGTTAGTTATTTTTAATAAATAAAAAATTTCATTTAAGTCTACGTCTCTTTATCTTCTTACAAATTTATTGGAAACTCTTTTTTTTTTTTTTAATTTAACTAATGTCTCTATCTAACTTTTTATTTTATTTTTCATATACAGTAAAATCTCTATAGTCATAATGGTGAGATCAACTAATTTTTTTATTATGAGGAGGTTATAACTTAATAGAGGTGTAGTTACGAAAATTATCGTTTTGATTTCTTATTTTATAATTCATGTTTTAGTAATACAATATTAGGATTTCAATTCATGTTTTAGTAGTATTATAATTTCAATTCAGCGCTTCAATTGTCCTCTCTTGAAACAGATAAAAGATCGTGTCTTAGAACTAGTAAAGATAAGTCTTATTGATGGAATTATAAATGCAGTTGTTGCATGGTAAATTGATGTGAAGCCACAAACAATTGCCAATTGTTTGTAGCATTGCAAAATAAGGTCCCTCGATGTCGATGAATTGCAAGTTACAAACGAAATGGATGAGAAGAATCAAAGAGTCATTACAAAACTAAGTGATTGAATTCAACAACTTCACTACACTAATCGAATGGGTATTTATGTCTTCCTCAATCATCCGAATGAACAAAAAGTCATGTATACTTTAACTGAAGGAGAAATCATTGCTATAATTAGACAAGAAGAGAAATGAAATAATCTTGAGGATCATAATACATAAATACAAAAAGTTTCAAGCCAAGAAGCTCTAAACATGCTTAAGAATTTAGAAATATTTTGACTTCAACAAGAAGGTGTCCATACTAACGAGTTATTATTAGAGCTGAGAATTAGGCCCTGACCCAAAAAACTGGTCCTAGGATTGAACCAAGCCCAACGTTCCCAAGCCCAGGCCCAAACCCCCTCCCCAATTTCCTTTTAACCCTTATAAAATATCCAAAACCCTCTATTTAATATGAAATTGACAATAAATATAGGGGTGGTTAAAATAAATTTTTTTACAAAAAATTGTCTAGGCCCATAAGACCGATCCTATGGGCCCATGACTAGTCCTAGGGACCGATCTGCACCCTAAGAAATCTCATAGGCCCTGTACCAGTACTTGATTATTTGGGCCCGAACCTTGAGGGCCTAGGCCCAGGACCAGGACCAGGACCAAGACCAACTAGGCCTGGGCCTTTCCCACCTCTAGTTATTACGTGCCCATAAGCTAAAAAATGTCTCAAACAACTTTAGATAAATAATTTTATTTCATCTTAAACCTTTAATGTAATATATATATATATATATTTTTTTATAATATGCATATAATTATTACTATGTAGGGATAACTTTCCAACAAGAATTTGAAAATTTTAATAGAGTTTATTCTTATTTATAATTACCCTAAATTGAGAATAAAGTTTTTAATACCTATATAAAATTTATTCCTATAGAGAATATCGCTATAAAAAGGTTTTCTGTAATTACTTTGAAGCAAACTATGGAGCGAAGCAGAAAACTTAGGACAGACAGCTTCGGAAGTATAAAGAGTAACCAAATTCACAAAAAATTGATGCTGATAAACGATACATGAACAAAAACTATCCAAAATACTTTCCTCAGATACAGTCGGGGAAATGTTTTCTCTTCTCTTAATTAGCTTGGGAATCTTTCCTAGCAATTGGCAAGCCATAAATTTTTCCCTTTTTCTTTTTTAACCAAGCAGTTTGTCCACCAATTTGAAACAAAGTCTTAAAATGTTGGCATAGAAGATCTCCTGAAGGCTGAAAATAAGGTTAAATGTTCATGTAATTTTTTGCTTACTGCTCATATAATCAATGACATCAACAATGAAAAGGGCCAATTCTTTTAACATTACAGAACTATCGATCAGTATCAACTGACCTTGCATTAATTAGGTGGACCTATACAAATGTTGGGGATGTAAACCAATCAACATTTCCCATACAAAACAAGCAGCTGTTCTTGAAGGAGCATATGGTTATTTCTCTTGGAAGGCGCATAGCCCACTCATTGGCCTGAATCCACACATCATCGAAATTGGTTTGACCCAGCACTGAACTACATGTGAAGTACAAAACTAGAGGCTATCTCATTAAATCTAAGAACACAAAGCCATTCCAGAGGCTATGCAAGAGCATAGATGGCAACAGATTCCTTGATCGTGCAAATACAAGACCCATAACCACACCAAGAAATATAAGCGGTAGCATTCTCTGTACATTGAAATGCGCTAGAGCAAAGGCAACTGAACTCACCAGTATTGCACACCATACAGGCATGTATTTGGTCAACGAAGGGAGGAGGAAACCCCGAAAGACAATCTCTTCCCAGACAGGAGCACATATGGACACTACTATTGCATATAATGCCATTGCAACCGGATCCCGTGCCATTATTGACTGCTCAACACTTGAGATGGTGACAGGTGCAGAGGGCATAAGGGGCAACAAGTTCAGGTTGAATTGTGAGAGCCGATTCACCAGAGGAAACATGAGACATCCCAGTGCAACATCAAATTGCCAGGTGCCCCTCAAGCTAAATCTAAACCAATCAGATGGAAGGGGATGAAACCGAGACAGGCAGCGATGGAGGATAGCAATGCCAGCAAGCCCTTCAGTTACATCAGTCACTAGGCTGAATAAGGCCTGTCCTCTAAACGTCAGAGAATCCTTGCTGAAACCTGCTATATGGGCTGCAAATGGAATCACCCAAGACCCTATGAACCAAAATGCCGCAACCCATAAAAGCATTACCTGCAGGCCAGATACAGTGTCATTGCCACCTTAATTAATTCCATTTTCTAATAGAACAGTATAATTTATTAGATGAGAGTGTCTACTGGAGCTAATTTGAACAGTTCAAAACTAAGATTAGAGGGAAATTGCTGTTGTTGGTAGCTTTCTTCCTACTTTTGGATGATATCATTATATCAGAATACCAGGAGGCTGATAAACAAATGGAAATGTATTCGTCCAGGTGCAGATATCCATTACACAAAACTAGTTTTTTAGTTATATACATATCCTTAAAGAGGATAACTAGCAAATGAATGCAATTATCATTGTCTTCTTCATGTTTAAGAAGCACATTTTGTATTTTCAGTGATAACAACTCATCCTCAATAGCAAATGACAGGCAGAAAGCTCAGGGGTTAGGGCTACATGCAGTTTTCCCAACAAAATAGCATCATAATACAGTTAACTTGATGCAATTAAGTTGAAACACTTACTTGTAATATAGTTTCTGCTGTCCATGGTACAGTCCACCGGCTCCCAATGGCCCTTAACACTGCATCTGAAGCCTGGAATATAAACAATATGATTAATAAACACATCGATAAATCTTGAGATATCTGTACTATGTTTAACTCTATTTTAGATGTTATTCATACACATTCCACATAGTAGGCAGACCAATCTTCTCTCCAGAAACTAATGATAGAAAAATGGATCCAAAACATGTCATACTACATCTGGATAGAATTTTCTAAGAAAACCAGTTCTCCTTTCCCTTCCTTTTAGTTAAAATCATTTGGCAACCACCCCAGAAAATCTGTAATGTAGATCTTTTGAAATTTTCTTCTCAATTTCACTATTATTTCAGGTTTGCTAAGACATCAGTNTTTATCAAATAGGTGGTGGGCAGCAATCAATTTCAACATTTCCAATTAAAAATATACAAAACAACAACTTCTCTTAAGTTCTTGACATGCAAAATCGATAACCACAACTTCTCTTAACATCAACTTCAACATAAAATCGCAACCAATGGGCAACATCTCCTAACCAACACAACAAGCAATAATCCAAGGAAACTAACACACCCATTACTTCTTCGTAAAATCTGTTGTTGTCGGCGATTGACAAGGTGGGACAAAGCAGCGACCGACGGAGAATTGAGCTAAGAATCAATGGTGGTTAACTGACAATGCTGAGTACTTTAGTTTAGGGCTTGTTATTTTGTTCAATTGAAAATAGGGTTTATGTAATTTGGGAATTGTTTTTTACAATTTGGGTTAATTGGGAATTGGGGGTAATTTGTGATTTTTGAAACCTTTAACATGTAAATTCACAAAACACACCCATTACCTATATACAACGCAAAAAAGCCTAATCAAGCCACTAAATACTCGTAATCCTAGTCGAGCCGAGCAGGGGTACACTTAAACTTGGCTCGACCATTACTGTGAGTATTTCATGCGCCGGCTCAGCTCAGCTGACAAAACTAGTCCCACGCCTCTCCATGAGATTCCTTATCCCTATCTTTTAGGATTATAGGTGGGGCATGGGATAAATTTTATACAATTCCAAATCTCAAAACAATAAAGATTGGCTCACAACTCAATGTTACAAACTTTCTTTCATAACCCTGACATGATAGTTCATAATTGATCAGTTCGTAATTGGGCAGATGAGACCTATTGCGGGGTGTCATGTCGAGGTTGCGAGAGAAAATTTGTAAGATTGGGTTGTAAGTGTAATATTGCCCTTGTCAAAAACTAGCAACAAACAAAAGATTGGACTAATCTGATTTACCTTACTTCCCAATTAGTTCAACCTCATGCTTTATCCCACTTCCCAAACGTATTTGTGAATTTTATGCATTTAATTTCTCTGTTGATGAAATTTTTCATTAAAAAAGGATGATTCTTAATCTGATTTACTTTAATTTAAAAATAAATAAATTAATTTCTCTATTTTTTTTTTTTTTTGTTACTGGGGGTGTCCGGGCCAATTTACGTACATCTCAACTAGTCCCGCGACCCTGAACAAGGCTTCCAAAACAAGGAAAGCCCTGCAGTCCATGGCCAATAGTATTAGCAATCATTCTTGTGATTCGAACCTGAGACCACAGGGGGAGCAAACCCCTTGGCCCCAAGTCTTTACCACTCAGATAACCCATTGTTGGTTTTCTCTATTTTTATCCCTATGTTAATAAATTTTTGATATATTTCTCTTTGTTTAATTGTTTAATTGTTGCATAAAAATTATTACCACACATCAACTTATGAACTCTTCAGTCTTTTAGGTTGCACTGGGTCCATCATTAGCTGAAAACAAACCCTTGTTCCGTCAAGCTGAAAAATTATTGCGATGAGCATATGGAATTGTCAAATGCACTGTTGCCATTCCTTAATGCTCAAAGAGTTCACCTCACACGGCTATAGTCCGGATGCTAGTTAACCTTGTTAGTAAAAATTGTAGCTGTAAAGTGCTTAACATTAACGTTTACCTTGGCCTCATGCACTAGCAGCACTGAAACACCAACGGAAGCCAGATATGGTTCAAGAATTACATGGAACTTTGCTCCCCTTTCTATATGGCAAATCACTACATGCTGGCTTATTCAGAAATGATAATCCAGTTCCTCCAGAAGAGCAGGGGTGGTGCCAACAGAGGTGGCTGACATTATCATCCATCTGCCATTCAAGAAGAAAGAAAAGGGAGAAAAAGAGTTAAGTGTATTCCATTAGCCTTGAGGTGGTTCCAGGGGATGAACAAGTGCTCAATTTGCAAGCAACCTGGCCACAAAGAAGCAATTGCCAGAATCAATCCACACTGCAGATCCAGAAAATTAGGTTGAAGAAGAGAATGAGAGAGTTGCCAAGGTCAACTGTTGAAGAGTGTTGTTTTCAATTTTTTATGTTTTAAACTCTATTGTTACCTTGAATAAATCATCCTTTATATTAGTATTTTGTTTACATGGCCTTGATGTGTTGATTGCAATTAGGTTGTCAAATTTAGGAGAAAGTATGGAATTATATTGTTGTGATTTTAGTTTGTCAAAATTCAGGAGAAAAAATGGAAAAAATATGTATTGCCATGATCGCTTAAGAGATATATAAGCGATACATATATTGCTTAAGCAACAAAGGGTTTTTCAATAAGGACGCTTAAGTGAGAAAATTAATGCTTAAGCGTGCTCTGGACAGATGTTTATGCTGTCATAGACTGATCGCTAAAGCGATTTTGTATCGATAAGCGACCAAGGGTAAAACGAGAAATCGCTTTAAGCAAACATAAATCGCTTAAGCGATCGTGCCCTGGGCAGATCTGATTCTGCCCTGGACTTGATCGCTTAAGCGACCAAGGGTAAAAGTGAAGAATCGCTTAAGCGATACATAAATGTTTAGCGATCGTGCATTTGGGAGATATTGATTCTGCACAGACTTAATCGCTTAAGCGATCTAGAATCACTAAGCGACCAAGGGTAAAAGGAAATATCACTTAAGCGACCAGGGTCAAGTGAAGAATCACTTAAGCGAGACTGTAATTCGCTTAAGCGATCGTGCAATGGGCAGATATTGATTCTGCCTTGGAATTGATCGCTTAAGAGACCAAGGGTAAAAGTGAAGAATCGCTTAAGCGAGACCATAAATCGCTTAAGCGAGCTGGGTAAAAGTGCAGATGTTGATTCTGCCTCGGACTTGATCGCTTAAGCAACCAAGGGTAAAAGCATAAAATTGCTTAAGCGAGAAAGTAAATCGCTGAAGCATACGTGCATCTGTGCACGTATTGATTATATCTTGTATATGATCACTTAAGTGATTACCCCCAATAGTACTAACAGTTAAACATTATGTGTATGTTATTTTTTATTCAATTCGTATTCTATTTAAAATAAGATGTGATTCATTTTTCATAAGATTTTTGTTTATCATTTACATAATGTTATAATAAATCAAACGCTTACAAACTAAAATACTTATTCTATATATATAATTAACACTAACTAAACATAACAAGATTTTAGTTATCTTACCAAATGTTGAGTGTTGTGTTTGTTTTCATTACACAGCAGCAATACAATATAGGAAAATCCATGTCTCTTTTGTTTTACTTAATACTCATTATTGTATTATTGTCGGCAGGTGGTTTTATTTTAGCATATATGCTTATCAGGATAGAAACCACACAGCCTTTAGACAAGAGGCTCAAGATTATGGAGGTTTACGTAATGAAGTTCCAACTGCTAATTGTATTCCTGCAAAAAGTTCTAGCAAGTGCCGGGGTTATAAAAGGTTCTTGCATGGTTCTCCCACTAGCTATGCAGTACTTTACAGTGTGTTGGTTATAGGAGGAGAAAATGGTTAAAAAATCCTGGTAGAACCTGAACACTAATTTGACTATACTTGGTTAGTTTATAATTTTGATATAAGTAGCACTTTGCTGTTGCCATGTTAATATATTAGGTGATAGTTCTTTTGTGTATATATCTTGTGTTATATCTTGAATTATATTTTCTTTTGTATAGGTAAATGGATGTTTGAGGATTTGTTTGATCATTCCTTGCGGCGGAGTCTTACTGATGAATCCCTTTGAGTTCGTGTTGTTTGGCTCAACATTTAATTGCTGTCAATGTGATGGCTCAAATATTGCATATTCTGAAGAAGAACTTCATGGATGTCCGAGAAAGCCTAAGTGCCAATAAGCTTGATTATCAATTTTGCAATTTTGATGACCTTGGGCCTTCTATTAAAAAGTTTAATAACTTGTGGTGGATTGATTTTGACACAACGAAACGCACGTGTGGAAATGTTAAGTTGGCCCAAACAACACCACTGGAATGGAAAGGAAAATGACATAAATGCAGTGAGAAAGGAGTTTTAAAGTGGTCGGATGCTAAGGAAGCAAATCTACATTCCACTGATGTTTTATTAATGTAATGGTCAGGTCGCTTAAGACGACTAACTTTACACTGATGATAAAGGTATCAAAGATTGTCTTTTCTAGAGAGAGAGAGAGGAGAGTTTGTCAAGAGTAAAAATGTGCGAATCCCCTTAATGAGAGGAGCTCCATTATAGTGGGATGCCTTGAGGTAATGAACACTGAATCTGCATAGTTGGTGGGATGATCCGTGCAAATCCTTTTTTGACGGTAATCACGTGTTGCGGCAAGGATTGGACATGCGGGATCATCACAACTCCTTGCTGGCATGACGTGCACCCATTATTCTGACGGAAGTAAGCTGTGGGGTGCAACCATGATCACACGACGCAGGTGCGCCAGAATGGCAGTAGACTCTTCCTGAGGTTGACCTTCGCACTTAACCGGGCGCCAGTGAGCCCTATGTTCCCCGGCATAACACCTTGTGTGATTTGTAAAGGGAGCACATATATGCTAAATCAGTTATATAGCTCTGTCAGGTGAAGACATTGGTTCTTAATTTTTTCTGACTTTCTTTATGTTTTTTTAACAGAAATCGACCGGTGCGTATTTTCTTACCTTGTGCTTGTCTTCATCAATTCTTGCTGATATATGTGTGTAAATTCTATTAGAATTCCATTTATTTCAATAAGTCATGATAAAAGTCTGACCCTGCTAGTTGAGTTTCTATGTTCTTTTCTGCAAGAGGGCTACTGTTTCTTTAATATCATTCTTTTTCTTTCCTGGAGGGGGTGGAAGAAAATTGTCTCCTAATCATGAAATCTACAAATCATTAGTTTTTTTTTTTTTTTTTTTTTTTTTTTTTTTTTTTGAATTAAGACTCTACTTCTTGGACATTATAATCTGCGGGTATTAATTTGCAACAGCAGCCCAAGAACAAGTTCTACTTTAGGTGATGCTGGATATTTGCTTGCCACTGGACCTGCAAATGGTTCCAGCATTTTGTTGGTTTCAGTTTACTGAGAATATCACAGAGAGGTGTTTTTGTGACATAAGATTATCAGTCCTTGACATATTGGGTTTTTAGGCTTGCCGTAGTTTAGTTTTAGAGCAATGAATTCAATGTAGATGAATTTTTCTCGCTCTTTTTTTTTTTTTTCTGTTTTTTTTTATTCCTTCCCATTTTTGGTTTCGATAGGCAAATTTTGCGTGTAGCATTTCCAGTTAATAATACATACTTTTGGACTCTGATGATTGTGTAAATTTGCAACATTCTAGTAAGGGGAGGGAAATTTATATATGCCTAATGTGATGTATTTCTCTCTCAAGTTTTCCATATGCTACATTACAAAGATGCAAGATCTTTTTACTATTATTGATTCAAAACTTGGCCTTATTCTGTTGTCGATGCATGAAGTTATCGTGTAACAATTTAGGAAGCTCCATAACCGAATTTGAAATTTTTTGCAATATTTATATATGACTCTGCATAACTCAGTAGTGCTTGAAATTAACACGTATACTTCAGCCCAGTGGGGATTTAGGATTTTGTCTAGGGGGAGCCTCCGTGGCTCCGCCATTATTGTCAAAACAACTATTGAAAATTTTAAAAAAAAAAAAAATCAAAACCTTAAGTAAAAAAAATAATATATTCAATAATCTAAAATAAAATAATGCAATACACAATACTTTACCACTTGAATAAATCTATGACGGCAAAACCTTAAGCAACTATGTTGAAAATAACTTCAATTCACGAGAAAGCATAAAAAAAATTTACATGGAAAAAAACCTCTTTAATTAAAGAAAGCAAAAAGATTAAGGGAATCTAACGATCCCCTTAAATCCAAATATAATTAAAAGAGTTATAACAATCACAATCTACCAAAAATGTTTACACACAAATTTTCATTTCTCCTATTTTTTTGTCTTTTAATTTTTTTTTTTGGTTTTGCTTTCAAATATTATAATATAAATTTTCAGTGACTTGATTCGACATTAGTCTAACCGAAAGAAATCAAAACTTAAATTAAAATAGTTGTCTTGACTTTAATGTAAATTAACAAAAAAAAAGGGAAAAATTTTATATAAAACATAGTAATAACTCAAACTTCTTTAATAATTTGATCAAATAAACAGTGATATTTGAAAGTAGGAAAGAGTGGGTGAGAGGTAAAGAATAACGTTCAGAAAATATAGTTAAGGTTTATTGGGAAATTAAACACCAAAACAAATCACAAGATTCCATGCATTTTCCATCAAATCGGAATAAAATCCTCAAAAAAAAAAAAAATA